GTCGTCGGGGGATCCATCGACTCACTGGGCACTTTTCCATGCGTGTCCCTGCCTTTGAATTTACATTCGGGTGCTTCCCTAGCCGGAACCCGTTCTGTCAGAACTTGAGATGGGCGAACGAGTGTACGCTCGTTGGAATGACGGTCTCTATTATCGGGGCAAGGTACTGCGGGCCAAGCACCAGCTAGGTTACCTGGTTCAGTTGGCGGACGGCAACATCACCCCCGTGCTGCCCGCAGCCGTTCAACGGGTGATGCCTGATGGTACCACCACACCCTGCGCTGGTGACGACGCGGCACCAACACCAGACACTCCTTTGCTGGTGGCCGCCCGACAAGGCCCGGTGCCCGCCACTTTTGTGGGTGAGACACACACTAATCGCTATCAGGTAAATTCGACTTCCCCATGTCATGTGTTCACTCAACAAGCAAAGCAGATTATGTTGTCTCACCAACTCTTTGATGACTTTAGGTGGCGTTTGATGATGGCTACAGTGCCACATTGGAGCGCCGCTTTATTTGTACGAGTCCAGACGCTGTGCCCACGGGCCGACTCGCACCAGGTCTCTGAGCGACCGCTTTGTACAATCGAGTCTTCTGCTTGAGTTTGATGCACCTGTTCCTCTGCTCCCTCGAGATAAAACGATCAGAGATCAAGGTCATGAAAGGCGAGAAGTGATCGTGAAGCAGAAACGTGACAACTGTCGGCTTTAGTGGATTGGAAGAAAAGGCGGGGAGAGGCGCTTAATCGAACAGGGAGAAACCATCCATCTATGAAAAAGGAACAATTCCCGAGCAAGGAAAAAGGATGAGTCGGTATAGCGTTACCATGCTTGGGGATGGCAGAAGCAAAGCTCAAAACAAGGTGAGATTGCCAACTTACGTCCTCATCCTCATCCTCGGACTCCTCCTTCTTCTCCTCCTTCTTCTCCTCAGCAGCAGCAGCGGGGGCAGCGGCGGCGGCGGGGGCAGCAGAGGCAGAGCCAACGTTGGACAGCATGTCCTTGATGTCCTTGCCGGCCAGAGCCTTGGCGAAGAGACCGGGCCAGTAGGGCTCGAACTCGACACCAGCGGTCTTCAGAAGAGTGGTGATCTTCTCGTCCTATCGATTGAATAACCCGGAACACCATTGTGGTTATCATTTGCTCAGAGATGCAGGGATGTGCTGTACAGTCTGCCAAAACGGTAGAGCATGCGTCTGGGAAGTGGCCATGCTGGCAAACAAACAAAAAAGAAAAAACGTACCGTGACCTCGACATCGTCGTCGGCCAGGATAAGGGCAGCGTAAACGCAAGCGAGCTCAGAGGACGTAGCCATTTTAAAGATAATGGAACGATTTAACCTGAAAGGGCAAAGATGCACACAAGAGTCAGGCATGAGCCAGTATTCGGGCTGCCAAAACCCCAAAATCACATCACGATATCCCTCCTGAAGCCACGAGGGCCCAAGATAGATCAAGCGGCATTCGGCAACCACAGACAAAAAAAAAGTGGGTTGCCAATCATTACCACACAGACCCCAACACCTTTCTCCCCACTTCACACACACGACACCGCGCGTTATGCAAGGGAAGACGCACGCAACTGGCACCGCCAAATCGGGGCCAGCGCGCGGCATTCACTCTCTCTCTGTGTGTGTGGTGCGCGATGGACCGACCTCAAAGGAAGCTCTCAGCATGCAAAAAAGTGCAATTGTTTGAACCTGAAAAACATCTTATGGACTGATTCAACATGTGCCCGGGGTCAGCTTATATGTTCCCACATGGTCATGACCACGTGTGCTACCACTTGTTACCCGCTTCCTCCCCTCACAACATGCAACAAAATCCATACCTCACTGACTTCGTCAAACAAAATAAGTATAATACATTAGTGTGTAAAGATTATTGAAAGTAAAATACTTTGCGATTCGCCATCAGACCGTTACACTTCGGGGTGTGTCCGCGTCGGCGAAGCGTTGGAAAAAAAGGGCGGCGCAGCAGAGCTGTTCGATCCGCCGTTGCAGTGGCTGTGCCCAGGCTGCACCTGAGCACGCTGTCGCGTCAGTGGGCTCCCTTGGCAGTTCCTTCTGGTCCAGTGGCTTGCCACCCTTCCTCACCTTGCTTTATCCTTTGGGAAGGAGTGTGCAAGTGTGGCGAGCCACCTTGTGATCTCCAGGATCAGAGCCAACGCTGACCTACGCCTTGGCTCATCCTCGAGCACACAGAGTTGGCGTGCACGGTACTGTTTCCAATAGCGCAAGATGCAACGTCGTCGTGGAACGCGACAGCCCAAGCCGGCCTGGGACGATACAGTGCATGACTTGTCTGAGCACAAGCTTTCGTCCGCTGCGTTGGTGAGTGGCTCCTGGTCCATCTGGCTCGGCAGCGGGATCTGTGGCATGGACCCCGCCACCGCCTCACGTCACGCCTGCACCAACCCTTAGCGCCGTCGCAAGGAAGCCCACGCGTCTCGCCACGCGAACCAAGCCAAGCAACTTTTGCAAGCACAACGACGTCGCAATTTGGCACAACCGCAGACGCCCCCTCAACCACATACCCCAACGACGGGTGTGTTCCGCTTGCTCAAAGCCTTCCGCATGCATGGGGCCCGGGGCGTGCTCACCCATATCCCTTCTCTCTTGTCCTCACCGCGTGATGCCTGTGATCGATGCTTGTTTCCGCGAGCAGCCTTGCCAAGGCGGCGATTTGTCTTGCCACCAAATCATGCAGGCCAGGTTGGTTCTGGGCTCGTGGCGCACAGAAGCGGTTGTTTGGCGACATTTGATAGGCGGCGGTGCCTTGATATCGCTAGGCACCACTGAGACGCACCTTGCGCCCCGGACTTGAAGCATTTGAGGACGACGACAACGACGTCCACGGTCATGATGATGATGATGACGACCTGGATTACGGCGCTGAGGACAACTACGTTTACACCGCAGATTTGTTGCAGTCACCGCACAATCGCCGGCCTCGAGGCGGCCAACCCGTTGTACGTATCCGTGACCTTTGCTACTGTTGACCGGACAAGATTTACTGCTGGAAAGCTGACGACTGTTTGTACATGAACATTTCACTCCTGCACCGGCCTGCCCCCTTCAACAGTTGGCAGCTCGAGCTTATCGCACTGTTGTGCCCGGCACTGCCAACTCATCCTTCGAGGAGACGCATGCAGGTTTGCTTTGTTTTTTCAACCAGCTGGGCGTCAAGTTGTATTGTCGGCCGAGAACCAGAGGCTCATGCTGCGTCGTGGTGTATGGGCGTGCGTGTGTGTGGTCCCAGCTCACAACGATACTGCAGCGCAACGTCAATATGGATACCACGCTCCTGGGGGGGCTTCGGCGAGCCCGAGCGAGCGAGCCGTGGATTGGGAGCACTATGCGCAAGTTGTTTCGGACGCTCGAGGTTTGATACTCGTTTTTCGATTCACAGTCAAGAGGGGAGGCGGGACAGCTGACCTTTGATGTTCCTTCCTCATCTTCATTGCTGTACTAGAGCGCCGGGCAGAGCAGGAATCACAATTGCTCTCGTCGTTGGAGCGCGTCCAGGCCTGGGCAGAAAAAAGCGCTGACCAGATCCAAGAGCCCAACTCTCCCTCCCGACTCACATCAGCTACGCTTCAGCAACAGCAAGCGGAGCTTGCGGCGCAGACACAAGCCCAGGACGCAGCAAAAGCCTTGGTCGCACAATTAGTATCCGAGCGCGTGGATCAATTAGAAACGCGATTGCGTCAGGCCTTGCAGCCGGGAACCGAGAGCCCCCGCTCGACCCAAGCCCCGGCCTCAGATCCACTTGGGGCCACTACCACGCTTGCAGCGGGCACTGGACCCTCGAATGGGACGCCCTCACACAACCGTACTGACGTACCTGGCACCCAGCTACATGGCCCGATGCTTGCTATCCTCGAGTTTATGGACCGGCTGGTGGATGGCACAGCTCAGCTTTCGACCACGCAGGCGCAGCTCGGCGCCCAACAAGAGCGCACTGCAGAGCGCCTGAATTCCCTCGAACACGCCCAGCAGGCGACAGACGCTCGCTTGGAGCAACAGCACGAGGTTCTTACGACTTTGGAAGCCTCCCTGAGGGCTCACGGGGATGCACGCGAGCAAGCCGAGCAGGCAGCACAAGACCAATTTGGCAGCGTCAATCGACAGCTTGAGTACGTAAATTACTCCAGCAACTTGGCTCGACCCTCGCCTAGCTGGGTCAAGCGGCCCATTGGTCTGCCCGTCCTCACTCGCATTGGACCACGCGTACCTAGACAAATCTTGGAGCTCCTCAACTCTACCTTGGCGTTGACCAACGGTAGCCATCGCGCCTCGCACGCGGTGCCCATGGCTTCCGCAGCCCCCACACCGGCGGTATCGGCGCCCGTGCCTATGGCTCCGGGCTTGGCGGCTGGCGGTGGGGAGGCTGGACCGCCTCGGATCGCACCTGGGCCAGGGGCAGTTAGGGCGGCGAGTCTGTCAGGAGGCCAGCCCCTGCCTACCATGCAATCACTCAGCGAGCCTCAGTACTTGCCGCCCGAATTTCAACTGCAGCCGGAGCCTTTGTACGTACCGCTTCACCATGCAGCACCCACCAACCAAGGTAATCAGGCATGGTGGCTCGCGACTACAGCCGCCCCCGCCGGAATGCCAGTTGCAGCAGCGCCCTACAAAGTGCAGTCGGCACCCCTGGCCCGAGCTGAGGTGCCCACAGCACCGAGTGGCGAATATACCTCACCGCTGCCTGCTGCCTTGCGATCAGCCAGCGCGCTGACGGGCCTCTCCGCCAGCCAGCTGGTGGGTAGCCAGCGGCAGGTGTCATCGGCCTCGCACACAGCCTCGCCTCAGCTGCGGCGTGCCACAGCCTCTGTTACCACGGCTGCCACCACTGGGACCGGCCCAGGCGTCGGCGATGATCCACATCAAGATCGGTTGGAGGCCATTTTGGCACGCCTTCGTGCAAGTGGGCGCGAATTGGCCGCATCCACGCACTTTGGCGCAAACTTTGGATAAGGCACGCAGACGAAACAAACACGATTGCAGCGAATTGAATGCACATAATCATAGGCAAATCTTTTAAATTGCAAGACAGCGCCTTGTGTTGCGTCACTACGATACATTGATCTTCTCAGCCAGCACACGTACAACGAGGCGAATAAACGGCGGCGCAAGGACTGGGTATGACAAGACACATGGGGCTCCACTTGCTGGACGCAGTCCACCCACAAGTAGAAATGAACAAATACAACAAGGGTCGATGCTTAAAAAAAAAATTACGATCATTGCATCGACCACGACTCAGGAGAAAAGCAGGCCAAGGAATGAGGTGGCCCTGATCAGGTCATCACCACCTGGATACCACCCAGACGGGCTTGCTCTAGGATGGCGTCAAAATCATTGGGAAATTGGCCAGTCTCCTTGCGGTGTGCAAATGCCGTGTGCATGCTTTGATGGTCGCCACCGGCGAAGACGAGGGCCAAAGTATGGGGCTCTTGCTCTTCAAGCACCTTGAACAAGCCCTGACTCACGAGCTCCGTGGAGGCAGCTTCTGTGGGCAGCTCCACGATGAGGAGACCGGCTGCCTGGGCCAGACGTTGCGATACCTGGTGAGCCGCACTCGGCACGGTTTCAGCTGTGAGGCAATTGACACCCGAGCGGGAGAGCGCTCGCAGCACACGGCTTCCAGCTACCACCGTGCAACCGCGTTGTTCCAGTCGCACCGCGCTCGCAGCGCTACCTGCGTCAGAGGTTGCGGCTGGAGCCATGGAACTCTGGGTTGACCCAGAGGCCCCACTGCCACCGCCTAGGGCCACGCTGCGGCGGACTACGGCCTTGATGATGTTATAATGTTGGTCGTTGCTCTGTTCAATCAGCTCGGGGCGCTGGCGAACGTGTTTAGCGAGACGCAGACAGGCTAGGGCATCTTCCACGCTATTGTGGCCGTCCGCAGCGTTTTGAATTTCATATCGCAGGTGCTTCTTCGTCAGCATGGAAAGCTTTTGCTTGTAGCGGCCTTCGCGCGCCAGGAGCACTGCCGTATCAATGACATGCGGGTGGCTACGCTGCAGAACACCCAGGTCGTTCTCCAGGGAATGCCCAACGAGAATGTCGTGGGGCCGAAGCAACTGGGCCAAGCGATGCTGAATGTCGGCAAGGCGTGAGGTGGCGTTGGCGAGCAGCTCGGGTGTGATCCCGCTGAAACGGGTCACATAGTCGGTAACAGGTTCATCTGGCACGACAAATTCGTCCATGACTGTGACCTCATCTTGGTCAACCACAGATATGCGTGCCAGTGCATATCGTGACCCACACCGGACCATCTCGCAATCCACGGCGAACAGCCGTGGTTCCGCGTCTGTGGGCGGCACATTTTTAGGGTCGGCGGTCGCTGGCGCCGTGGCAGGCGGGGGCGCGGATGCCTTGTCGCCCTTGGCATCATCGTTGATATCATTGACAGGCCCATCCTTCTCTTCCTGCCCGTCGTCGTGGTCGTGGTCGTCGTCCGAATCAATGTCGATGGCATCTGCATTGGCGGGGACTGGGGTCGTTGAGGTCTCACTCGGCGGGGTACCGTTGCCAGTCGCCGAGTTGGTCAAAGCTGGGCACTCTGGGGCGGAAGGGTAGTGATGGTCCTGCTGCATCTGGGGCTTGAGGCAGAGTGCATACCAACCCAGTTGGCTGACGCTGTCCTCCTGGTCTACCAAGTCGACGGCAGTGATGCGCTTGGCATCCTGAATGGTGCACAGCATGCGAAGGGGCGGCTCAACATTTCGTCGTCCGGCCGGGGCACGAATGCGAGCCATCGTGGCATCTGGCCAGCGTGCCTGCACTCTGGGCACAATCTCGGTCACAAAGTCGTGCTGCTTCAGGTTGGCCAAGCTGATGACGGCCACCTTTTTGATCGTGGTCCGATTCTTGAACCGAACAGCCGTTGGCTTTTCGTGGCTAAGAAACAGCGCATGGGCCAGCAGCCCTTGGAGCTGCTTGTATTTGAGATGCGCGTCCGCGTCACACACAAGTTCCACCTTGGGTGCCTTTTCCTTCTTTGCCTTTTTCCGCGGCGGTCCCGGGCCATGACCGTCGCCCTCGCCCTTGCGGGCCGCCTCATCTTGAGGCGGCGGCGGTTGTGATGCTGGGCTGGCCATGTTCCCTCTCCTGCTTTCAAAAGAGAGCGAGTCAGCCAGCAAGATCGATACTTTGTGCCCACATTAAAACCACAGCACCCCCCACCACCTCCTTGCCCTCTGGCGCGCCCGAGAGAGAGAGAGAGAGAGAGAGAGAGAGAGAGAGAGAGAGAGAGAGAGAGAGAGAGAGAGAGAGAGAGAGAGAGAGAGAGAGAGAGAGAGAGAGAGAGAGAGAGAGAGAGAGAGAGATACACGTGGAGAGAGATCACACCTGACCGTTACAAACCTTGAGAGATAAAGCGAAAATTACCACACACACACACACACACACACACACACACACACACACACACACACACACACACACACAAACTGACTGACACTTCTTGGCCTCACTGTGTGAGTGAAAGGCAGATGGTGCAGGGTGGCGGGGGCGGTGGTGGGGTGGTGGCCCAGCGATAGTTGTCCTTTTGAAAGCGTGGGGCTTGAGTTGAAAGGGCAGGATTGAGTGGTCGAGTGGCTGTTGCCAGCATGGCCGAAGCCGTTGCCGCGGCCAAGGCCGCTCACTGTCAAGCCTTGCACAACATTGTGCTGGTTGCTGGGTACGCCAATCGGGTCGTGTGACTGGGCCGCGCACTCCTGCATGCAGCTGTGGCTTGGTGCGTCTGACGATATTCTCTTCTCATTGCTCGGCCGGCAGGGATCATTTTGTCGTTTTGTGGCACGTTACAATCGACTTTAGCATGAGGTCAGTCGCCATGCCGTGGGTGGCTTTGGATTTCACCGCCTCAGCCCCCTCCACTCCCCTCCCCTCAGAACCGCTGATTCGAGTGTTGGGCTATGTTGTGGATGTGTGGGCGCGGCAGTGCCACCGACGGTGCAGCCTTGGCGTTTTCTTCCAAAGCGATCCTTCCCGTCTTAGAAGCGCAAGTGAGTTAGTTCCTGCAGATTTTTTTACGTATATTGTTGCTTTTCTTTTTGCCGCCCGCGACGCGCGAAGTAATGCGCTCCCGCCTGAACAACTCGTTAGCGCACTGCGCTGGCTCTTGAGGGGCTTGAGCCTCTCTTCCAGTCTGTACATCGCGCATTTCTACGGGAAAGTATTTCGGCTGCTCATGCCGAGGACGGGCACCTCCACGTCCGTATTCCCCTAGACTCATGGTGAGTGGCTTTCGGTGTTGTCGTCCACCTTCTTTGGATCTCAGTTGGCTGAGCATTGGTATTGCTCACCCTCAGTACCGCCGCACATGCAGGGGAACTGCCCTTGATCTACCTCTGGCACCTTGTGGGGAGGCCGAGACGACTCAGGTGGGCGTCTCCGGACTTTCGCGCCCATGGTCTTGCATCCCGTTCACATGATTGGTTTGAACATTGCTTTCTTAGGTGACGCATGACATCTTATTTCAGGTTGCACAGGGCATGAGCAGCCCCATCTACTGGAAGCTCCGACGCAGCGTTCAGGGTCGGCATGTACGGCCGTGGTCCTCGTCTTGCAGCCCTGTCCCCACCTCTTTCGCATTTGATGACATCAGCTTCCCGCTCCTGCGCTGCCTGCCTGTTGTGTTAGGATTCAAATAAAAGCAATGACTCGCTCAACAATAGTCATGGTCGGTGTCTGGCCAAAGTCGTTCCTCGTCTCCCGCGAAATGGACAGGTCTCAATGATCCTTTTGCCACGCAGATGGTTCTTCGGCGGGTGCTGGTCATTCGGCCCAGCTCCATGACCCCCAAGGTCCCCCCCGCAAGAAAAAGAAGCGCATTGGCAATGCCCTCAACCCCAGTGCGTACCGTCAACGTGCTGCCGCCCCTGTCGAGCTGGGGGACTCGGCCAGCGAGGACGACGATGCGCAATAAATAAAAAAGTATTTGACTTTTATCTTTCCACACACAATTATCCACAACGTTGTTCACTATCTGCACTAAAATTTTTCACCAAGCAACAACAACAAAAAGAGAGAGAGAGAGAGAGTTTGAGAGGGAGTTTGAGAGAGAGTTTGAGAGAAGAGAGAGAGAAGAGAGAGAGAAGCGAGAGAGAAGAGATTGAGAAGCGAGAGAGAGAGATGAGAAAAGAGAGAAATTTAGAGAGAGAGAGGAAATTTAAGAACGCCCCCTCGCCGCCCTCCCCGGCTCTCTCTTCTTCTTCTTTTCTGGCGTCGCCGACCTTTTGGTTCCCTGCCTCGACTTTTGTCGACCCCACTAGCCTGCGCCTTTGCCCCGAGTGGTTTCTTAATATCTATAGTCTGCTGATTGGCGTGTTTGGTTGCTGTGGGGTCGATTTGACGCGGTGCTTTCGTGCCGACGGAACCCTGCAGAATGCCGCGCCAGCTGATCCCCGACAGTCGCTTTCAGGCACACGACTGGCAGGTCTCCAGCGTAGACTTTCACCCTCAGCTCAACATTCTCGCCTCTGGCTCCTGGGATCGTTCCATCAAGATCTGGGATATTGAGGAGTCACAAATTCTCCGAACCATCGACCGTAACGCCGGTCACACGGCCCCGGTGACCTGCGTTCGATGGCACCCCAGTGGCAATCTCCTTGCCTCGACCTCCGCTGGTACGCACCAGCCCCCGAGCTTGCCTTCATCATGCCGAACATTTCACAACAAAGTGTTTGGTTTCTACCAGTCCCGGCTGGGCTAGCGCACTCGCTCAAGACTTAAGCGCGCTTGCACGCCATCCCCGTCCCCAACATTTGCCCTGTGAATCTTTAGATAACACAACGTGCCTGTGGGACGTCAACACCGGACAGCGCATGCGCACCCTACGCGAGCACTTTGGCTGGGTAAGGCCGATCCCGTGGACTTGAGCACAGGGTATGCAGGGGTTTTCCAGTGTGTGAGTGAGCGCGCACGCGTTCTAACTACTTTGTTTCACGCCGGACTGGCAGGTTCTCTCCTGCTCCTTTGCTCCTGATCGGACCAAACTTGCCACAGCATCATGGGACAAGACAGTCCGTTTGTGGGATCCAAACACCGGTGCGATGCTCCTCGAATTATTGCTGTTTGATGACTCTCTTGGCATCAACTGCCGTCATCCTTGCTGCAAGCTCATTTGCCGCCCGCCTGGCGTTGGAGGACAGGTGAATTGTTGTCCACCCTCCGCGGTCACACCAAAGGTGTATACGCGTGCGAGTTCTACCCCGTGGGCCACACGTCTGCCCTGCTGGCGACGGCTGGTGATGATGCCATTGCCCAGCTTTGGGATACGCGCACAAGGTGGGCTCGAACTCCTGCCCTAGCTCCACATTTCAAACCCCTTTGTTCCACCGTCTCTGACTTGAGCCCACATCCCAGCTCACTCTGGCTTGGCCCACGGCCACACCTGCCACGTGAACCAGGAAAGTCGCCATGAAGCTCGTGGGCGGCCATGCCGATGCCATTCACTCCATTGCCTGGTCAAACGATGGCACACTTATTGCGACCGGTGGTGCTGACAAGACAGTGCGTACACACATAATCCCATCAACCCATCTCGGGCTACTTTGTGCCTGATCAGTCCCTTGCCTGCTCCCCAAGGTCACGCTGTGGGATCCCAAAGCCGCTGGCAAAACCCTCAAGCTGTTCAAGGGTCACGAGGAGACCGTCAAGGCTGTCGGCTTTGCCCCCGTCAACAAGTACAATCCTCACAACATCGTGGCCTCAGGTTCGTGCCGGCGCTCGTTGCTGTGGCCTTATCCGTACCACACTAAGTCTGTACGCTGCTGATGGATGTGCCACTTGACCCTTGACCGTGTTCATGCTCTAGCCGGTGGCTACTCAGCCTCCATTTGGAACCCAGCTGCCACCAAGCACGGCCTTGTCTGCGAATTCAGAGCGGTACGCTCGTGACCAACAAGAGGCCCTGCCATGGCTGCGAACCGTTTCGCGAGAGGCAACGCACTTCTTGGGGCTTGTGAGCGGTCCCTCATCTGCGCCTTATCGTACCTCTTCTGCTTCATCCTTGCAATAGCACGAAGATGGCAAGGAGGTGGAAACACTTTCCATTTCGCAAGACGGCCAGCTTTTGGCCACTGGTGGGCGCGACGGCGTCGTGGCCGTCACCACCTTCCCAGCAGTCTCGAGCACGGATTACTACGCCGATGAGACGGTGCGTTTGGTGTTTCTTGATTTATTTGTTGGATTATTTGTGCAAGGCCCCGCAGGCCCACCTGTTTCTTATCACAAGCGCGCACCCCTATTCATTGAAATCAAACCACGCGCCGTGTTTTGCCAGGACGACCGGGAGTTGGAAAAGCGCACCGAGCAGGCCGAGCGCTGGCAGGCGCGCCAAAACAAAATGACTACTTCGGTTTCACAGTATCGTGCCATCACTGGGCAAGACATGGATGAATCCCATGCCTGGACCAAGCGAGGCCAACCAGTCCCACCCTCACCCGAACCTGGGCGGGCGCGAGCGCCCCGACCCGATGCGAGCAAATTGCTAGCGGAGCGTGGCTTTAACCGTGATGGTCGTGTCCAGGCCACCGAAGCACCAGCGGCGGCTGCGGCTGCGGCCGAGACGGACATTACTCCTGCTGCTGCATCCGCTGCACCCGCCGCTACTGAAGCCGAGGTTTGCAATCGTGCGCTTGATAAAGGCACTTGCCACGCGGGTCTTATCATTTCTGCGGTGGCGGTGAAGACCTGTAGCGATGCCTTTTTTTGCTCATTTTGGTCGATTTTCTCGCGGGCGCTTAGACGGAGAGCGAGTTGTCGTTGCAAGAGCAAATCAACCGCAGTATGTCAGAAATCTCACATGCATTGCATTGGTGTTGCTGCTTGTTGCCTGGCGCGAATATCTCACGTCGGACAACTTTTTTGCCGCTTCCGCAGCTGGTCTACGCCAGGTCCACGTGCTGGATGATCGGGGCCAGGCCCATCCCATGCTCAAGGCAGCTCAACAACAACAACAAAAGGCCGTGCGTGCCATCGCTCGTTTACGCTATATGCGCGTCCTTCTTTGCCACGCGCAGGACCCTCACAAGTGTGACACGCCCATAGGCTGGTGTTCCACAAGCGCCGAACGCAGGACCTACCAAGGTCAGCGATGTTGATGCCCTTATGAAGCTGCTGCGTGACAAAACCGAAGACCCACTTCGCCGCCAACAAGCCGCTCTGGTACGTTGCCTCCCTCCCGCGCTGTGCTCACGTTTCCCAAAGCTTTTTTGCACGTTTGAAGTTCTAACCCTTGATCCACACATCCACAGCGCCAGCCACGCCCACGCTCCTCGATTGTAGAGCCCGAAAAAGAAGCGTCCGTCTCTGACCTTCTGAATCTTTCCAAGCCCAAACTCGGGCTCAAACCCAAGGTCTGCCGCTCGCCGCGCCGCTTTCAAGCCTCCTTATTGTTTGAGACCCTTCCTTGCTCATGCCCCTGGGCATTCATCTCCATCTCTGATCGATAGATTCGTCGGGGCAGCGTGAATCGTGTCAATTCCACTGCATCAACGGCTTCTTCCTTGGATTAATCGCCTCCTGCCCGTGTCCTCGTGAACGACTTTTGAAAATGATCTTATGCGTGTCTAACCTAAACTGTGTGCCATGGCCCTGGTGTAAGCCCCCAAACGGCACCTGTCCTTACATTTTCCCAAACGCCATCAGTTGGTTTCCCCCTCCCTCATGCACATGGGTGAGCCAAATCAGTGTCTCGTCCAAATTGAAACATGATACCCCTTCAAAATTAAGAGCAGAGCAGAGAATTTGAATTGTTTACAACGGCTGTTCTGAACGATATTTTATCATCCTTGGCAACGTCGCATCGCAACAGTTGCTGCTCATCGGTAGGCGCGCCTCTGAGAACGCCGGGGTCGCGGTGGGAAAACGGCGGCAGGCAGGGTGATGGCAGACGTGTTTGGTGTGCACTGAGTGGCATATGCCAATCAGAATACAGGAGATTGGGGGAGGGGGCCGTGTTGCCCGTCACAATGATTCGAATGGCGTGTCTGAGTTTATTGGTCCAAGGATTTGATACAATGTAGCTCAATTTGGTGTTCGCCATGTAGAGGCGGAGCGGTCACCGCCGCCATGAGTACTATCCTCTGCCGCTGGTTGAATGAGGATGTGCAACTGGGTGAATCAGTGTGTACGTATTGCCCGGCTCCAGTGGCTGGATCAGCTTTGCATGACAGCTCCACATGGCAGCTCACCACGTTTTTTTTGTTTTTTCTTTTTTATCCCGGGGGTTTTAATTCTGTTGGGGTGTGCTGGGTGGCAGCGCCAGCTGACTTGGCCTCCAAGTTCAGCAATGGCTACCTTCTGGGTCAACTGCTCTCCCAGTTCAATTTGCAGCCGGATTTCAAGTCCTTTTCTCGCTCAGAGTACGCAAAGCCGGAACAGCGCTTTTCTACAAACGGCCGATCATTTGTTGGCTACCTCTCATCGCACTTGGGCCTTCCTTAGCACGGCTGAGGCACGCCTCAACAACTTTACTCGATTGGAACCCGTACTACGCGCCCTCAAGATTAAGTTTGATGCCAACATGGTAGTGCATGTCGCCCCTGACTTTGCACATTCGATGCAGCATCCCAATGTCATATTGACTTTGACCTTCTGTTTGCTGCCACCCACAGGCTCGTGATGTCATGGCTGAGGAGGACGGTGCCGCCTCTCAGCTACTATATCAACTTTTCGTGTCATTGAACAAGCAGCTCGACAAGGTTCGCGCTGAGTCGATTCAAACTTGCTGTCGCTACTCGAACCCGAGTTGCAATTTTTGGATTCTGACCTAATTTGATACGTTTTTGTGCAGGACTGGCAAAATACCGTCATTGCCGGCGGTGGCAGCAAGGTGTCTGGCGCGCCCATGCCAAGTGCGTTCTCCCAATCACTCAAGGCCCGCACACGGCGGCAATCAGACCTAGACTTTGAAAAGTTGGAGGCCAAATTTCGCCAGCGTCAGCGCCAACACGAGGAAAAGGCTCTTCGTCAACAGCGGCAGGAACAAGAGAGGGCGGACCAAATTCGCGAGCAGAAGCATCGCGAAATGTTGGAACGGTACGCCCGCGTTTGCTTCTACAGGGAAAAGCAAAGGCAATCAGTTTTCAGGGCTTCGCCATCGTCGCTTTCTTGCTCAAACTGTTTCTCACGGCTTTGATTGCCCCAAACGGTGTTATCTCTTTGCGCCTGCAGCTCGCGCGAAGTGAAGCGTGCCTACGATGAACGTGTGCGCGTGCTTGCCAGAGGTCCGGGGAGCACCGGCGGTGATGATGACGGCAATCTTCCATCCTCTGCTCGCTCCCTCCGTGGTTCGTCCACCATGGACCAAGTGCGCAAGGTCGGTTCTCGGTCTTTGTCGCGCATCGTTGGGCATGCAAATCAGCACCCTCACGCCACGCCGGATCTGGGATTGACTTGTCCTGCCCCTTACAGACTATGCGGCAAGCCGAAACACGGCGGGTTTTGGCAGCAACTCAGCGTCTTGCTGAGCTGGACGATCTGGACCGCTTTGATGCGACCGTACACGGCGAGGACGCACGCCAGCCTCTGCGGCCCATTGGACATAGCCAGCAGGATCAAGACTTTTCCGACGATGAAGACAACGCCTATGGCGAGCTGGCCCGTGACCCAGCTGTGGACGGTCGCCGTTCCCACAGCGTCTCGACCTCGGCGCACGCCACACTTCAGCGCAGTGGCGCCTCTGGGCGGCCCGACCTTGCTGAGACACCAACAGGCGCAGGCACGAATACTGAAGAGCCCAGCGAGTACGTTCGTGCTGTGCGTCAACGGCGGCAGCAAACTGAGGCCGCACTCCAGGAACGGGAACGCCAACGCAAGCGCCTCCTGGTCATGCAAATGGCACAGCAACAAAAACTGGATCAGCAGCAAATGGACGACCTGCTCTTGGCCAAGATTACGCGCCATTCACGCCGTGAGCATCAGATCGCTGCAAGACTCATGGCAATCCGTCGAGAGAAGGAAATTATTCGTCAAAATCGACTCTACCGACAACAACAAATGGCGCTGCTACGTGAGGCAGAATTTCAGCATGCTCTTGATCAGGAAGCCGAGCATGCGCGGCGTCAGCGCGCTACAAAAGCAGCTGCCGAACAAGAGCAGCAAGAGCGGCGTCTCAAGGCTCGAGAATCCCGCGCCAAGGCTCAACAGCAAGCCGTACAGGACATGGTCTGCGGTACTGTGCACGACGTCATCGCCATGGCCATGCAGCTGAGCACATATCATCGGTTGACTGGCATGGTTCCGCCTCCGAGTGTGCGTCTTGATTTGAAAAACACCTTCTTGGCCGGCCTGCCAATGAAAATGGACGTGCCCGGTGCAACGACGGACCCCGCTCCGGCCGCTGCCACGGCAGCGACAAACTCGAGTACTCTGCGAGATTACCTTCTGGTGGCTGAAAATTGGATGCCTGAACAGGGCACGGACGACCTGCGCCAGGCCGCCATTGCTCGCAATCCAATTTTAGGCCATCTGTTGCACGAGTTGGCTGCGCGGGCCTACCCGGCACCGACTCCCTGGCAACCTGCCCCCATGCCGGCGCACGACTTGCGTGCTGTGGTGCTCGGCAAGCCCTTTGCTCCAGTCGAGGCTTTGGTCGCCGCCTACGTTGCCAAGCATCCGGACGTCGTCGTCATCTCTCCGCAAGATATTGTCGCGGCTGCCGTGCAAGCACACGAGACCGAAGAGCAGGCCTTTGCGGCACATGAGCCGGCCCTGGAAGCCATTTTGCCGCCGGACCTGAGCGAGCCGTTGATAGTAGATCGCCTGGCTGCCGCTCAAGCCGTTGCGGAGGAGTTGGCAAGACAAATCGAAGCAGAGCACAAGGTCGTGGCCCCCTCTCCCAAGGGCAAGCAAAAGGGCGGCGAAGCCAAGGCTAGCGCGGCCTCTGCGGAGCCAAGTGCCGTGGAAGCATCGGTACCTCCAAGTGCCGACGCCATTCCCACCATTGTCGAGGAAGAGAGTTCCGCTGTGGCAACAGCAACGGATGTGGCCTCTGAGGCCGAGGCGAGCCCCGACGCCAATGCCAACGATGCACTTGCTGCAGAGAACCACGAGGGCACCGACGAGTCCGGCGCTACCGCCCCCAAGAGTTCCATCGCAGAGTCAGATGCGGAGGCCTCTGCGACAGCCGACGATCCCGCTGCAGCTGAATGTGTGGCGCCTCGAGGCCTCTCATTGCGGGCACGCTTGGGGCAGTTGGCTGCAGAGGACCTGCAGCGTGGTGGTGTCGTCGATGAGCGCGTCATGTGTGCCTTGATCGTTCTGCGCATCCATCAGGTTCAATCCGGGCCGGGCTGGATTCTGACCAACTACCCGACCACACTGCATCAGGCCCAGCTGCTTGAGCGTTGTTTGGGTGGCCGGCTGTTGCCATCCGAGCGCGAAAGCTCAGATGCCATCGTGTTTCCTCGGTCTGAATCTTTGCTGGCACCCGATCCACTACCCAACAAAAAGTCCGAGCCTGAACCTCGAGTTGTCGCAGGTACGCTTGAGCACCCTGCCTTGCTACTTGAGGGGCGTCATGGTTTTAGCGGGCGGACGCGCGTTTGCTCTGGCTCACACGTGGTTTCTTTTTGTCCCCTCCTTATCTTGTTGTGCATAGTGATTGAGGTTCGCATTGGTGATGACGTTGCGGTAGCCGCCGCCCAAGCGGCGGCTCAGACGGGTTCGGCCGAGTCCAACGATGCCGCCGATGCGGCATCACCCGCAGAGAACACCGCGGGGTCCCACATGGACGTTCAGGTGGTTCAGCGGCTTGCAGCATGGGAACAAGATGTCACCCCCATGCTTGGTTGGTACACTGAGCTTTTCAAAGCACATACTGCTGGCGGGCACGAGGTGCATGTGATTGAGGCCACGGAGGCGTCCGAGAGTGCGGAAACCGCATTCAGTAGCATTCTAACCAGCGCCTGCCAAGCACCGTACAAGCGCGCCCGTGAAGCATCGGCGCGCCAACGCTCCCGAGAGGCAGCCCGTCGTGCCGATCTAGAGGCGTTGCAGACAATTTTGGATGTGCAAGCTGCGGAGCAACGTGAGGCGGATGCCATTTTGGCCAGCCAGGCAGCTGCCGTTGCGGAAGGCGCCCCTGTTGAGAATACGCTTGCTGTCAAGGCACCGTCAAAACCGGGCAGCGCCCGTGGCTCGCGTCCCTCGAGCAAGTCTGGAAAGAAAAAATCTGCGAGCCAAGCGCCAACGGCTACGGCAGATACGGCCGAGCCTACGGGACCTCGGGCCAGTGAGGTCAGCGCTGTGGTTGCCCAGGAGGAATCACAAATCGACACCGTTGTGGAGCGCGACCTAGTGCGCGAGCCTCAACCCGGGGATGCTGATTACTCTTTCGCGCCGCTCACTGCCGTCGATGAGATCATGGCCCAGGCTTTGGTGCCTCTGTGGGATCAAGCAGAGCAAAACTATGTGGGAGAGGTGCTGGCCGTGGCCGAGCGCCTGCGTCGCGAGGAGCACAATGCAATTGAGTTTCTGGGGACCTGCCGCTTGGCTATGGAGACCTTTTTGCAGCGGCCTGATACTAAGCAGGAATATTTAGCGCAGTGGCAGGTGAGCTTCAATGAGGTACCAGCTGACGTGCGACGCTTGCCCGCTGGCAAAGAAGAGCTGAACAAGCGCATCGAGGACCTGCGGGAGATCTTGTACGAGATGACGGATCAACGCTACGACAGTGCCAAAGTCAAGGTCAAGGAGATGCAGGACGCGCTGTGGGCCGAGAATGCCTCTTCCCTAGTTGCCAACTGTTTTTTGCAGCTCCTTCATGCGGAAGGCAATCGCTACCATAGTACCATCACCGTCCTGCGCGAAGCCTACGCGGCTTTGGATACGGAGCCGCGAGAAGCAGCTCGGGAGCCACCAACCGTTGCTTTGATTGACGTGCGAGCTGAGCCTGCCTTTGATGTTGTCAAAGGCCCAAGCAAGGGCAAAGGTGGCAAGGGCGCAGGCCCTCCCACTGCTGAAGGTCCACACGGCGTGCCCGTGGTTGCGCCCACAAAACTGAACGAAATGGTAACGGTCCAGCACTATGCAACGGCCCTACGAGCCGCAGTTCCGGAGCGCTTGAACCCGGCCAAGGCCCGTGCGCGAGCTGCTGCCGCTGCCGCTGCCGCCGCCGAAGCCGAAGCAGCGGCGGCGGCGGCTGCTAAGAGCAAAAAGTCCAAAAAGGGGCCAGAGCCTGTGGTGGAGGAGCCGCCCGCCCCGTCTGAGGAGCAGCTGGCCGAAGAGGAAGCCAATCAGGAGCGTGAACGTCTTCGTGAACAGGGTTTGCAGGAGGAATACCAGGCCCTCCTGCGCGAGGATGAGCGCTTCAAGGCCGTTGTGACGCTGTTGGAGCGTTTGGCCGAGCAAGTCCTGACACGCATCAAGGACTCGGCACATCTCTGCTTTGAGGGTCTCTCGCAGCAGGCGGGTGAGGCGTATCGGGCCGAGACGCAGGCCGTCGATGCCCTCTGTGAGCAGGCTCGACAGGCCGTGTTTGCAGGCGAGCCCATTCTGTATGAACTCGTGCTACAGGGCACTACCTACTCCATCAACCAGGAGCAATATGTATCGCGACCCCCGGCATTACCGCTTCCTCCAGCCCCCACAGAGGAACAGCCTGCACATGCCTTCACGGTAGCACAGCTGACAACATTGCACCATCGGTTACGGAGTCTCGCGCCCACGGGCGTGCTGGCCACAGAGACCCTCGAAGAGCTGCTCCTTGATCTAGGAGGGCGCAACGGCTGCGATGGTGCCCTGCCTTTATGGTGGCAGAGCTATTCCGTGACGCAGGTCCATCAGATGGTCAGCGCGTGGAGTCAAGACCGGGCCTTTGCGGACGTGCGACGCCTGCTCGTGGACGCTGCTGGACTTCCTGCACCCACACCCGCGGAGGTCTTCGCAGCCTTTCAGGGCTATTATTTGCGCAACACGCATGGCCTCCTGAATGCAGCCGAATTTTTGTCGGTTCCGTTGTGGTTTGACACGCCTCAGCCCGCATTGGACTCTGATACCCTGGCCGCAGAATTTCATCGCAGTGCGCGCTTGAAAGAGCTCTTCTTTGATGTGTTTGCTGACCATGCTGTGACCCATTCTGGTCGCCGTATCGACTATCGCCGTTTTCTTGCGTATGCCGTGCGCGGACCAGCCACGGCGGAACCAGACCTGGGCGCCTGTTGCACGCTGGCGGCTCTAGTGAGTGGGCAGCTGGGTGCCTCGCGCTATGATAGCTTTCCAGGCACGGAGAGTCTCAAGGCTGATGCCCAAACGCTGGCCACCCTTGCTCAATTATATCCTCTGCCTGCTGAAGGCGTCTTCGATCTGGATGCGGCCGAAGAGGATGACATTGTCGATGCGGCCGATGCACGCATGGCCGAGTTGGAGACCGCGGGGCCTCGAGCTCAGCCCTTGCTGACCGATGACGAAGTGGACGCCCTGGTCGCACCTGAAGGCAACCTTGAGGCGATCCTGCAGCGGGCTGCCTCCAAAGGTCGTCTTCTGGTTCCGGCGCTGCAAGTCACGTCGGTGGCGAATCTAAACGCACCAGATCCACGCGTGCCTTCAGCTGATCCTGCATCAGCTGGCGTCGCCATTGATGTGACTGACGCTGGCCTCTAGAGAACGTGTCTCCTTGTGTGAACGGCCGTCAGAAATGGGACATTGGTCGCTCTCTCTGTCCTGGTCTCAGTTGGCCTCGCCACCTTTGTGTCTTTATCATGCGCCCTGTATCCTGGCGCCATTTTTGTATACGATGTAACAACATGCAGCAAAGCTCAAAATCGACTCAGCATTGAAAAGTCCTCCGTCCGTCCTGACACACAACTCAGCCCACAACAAGGAGTAAACGAGAGAAACGGGGAAAGGGAAAAAGGATAAAGGACTGTCCCCTTGACCTCTTGCTTACGTTAACAGGTGTCATCTCTCTCTCTCTCTCTCTCTCTCTCTCTGTTGTAATTGTGCTTTTCCTTTGTGTCTTCGCAGCTTATACTTCTCAAACCGACCAAATCTCTCTCGCTCTCTCTCAGAGTTCGTCCACACAACACACACACCACACACACCACACTGTCTCTTTCCATCTCTCTCTCTCTTTCTGTGTCAGTCAGTCAGTCTGCGTGTGGCCCTCCCTGCCTCTCTGCCTCTCAGGTTCCCTCTTTCTTCGTCTTTGCAGCTCTGTCGATTTGTCTGTCTGGCTCACGGTATGCTGTCATCTATCTGCTGGTCACCTGCCAGGGGCCCACTCAATGTGCAACGGACGCCATGTTGGGAGGCGCTGGACTGATACCCTACCGAGCTAGGCCTCGCGTCTCGTCGACATGGGTGGGCGTTGCCTTGCTCCTGCTTGCGCCGAGAATTCAGGCGCGCTGTGAAGGCCAAGTGCCGCGCTTTCCTTCCACAACTTGCGTTGAGCGTGCTGAGGGAGCTCGCTGTGAGCTGCGATGCGGCGATACCGGTCCGAGCGATGCTGTCGGCTATGCGACATGCTTGGATGGGTCGTGGGTGACCAATCACACCTGTGATATTTGCGCCATTTGCCCGATCTACTGCGACGACTTGAGCACCCTCACCTTATCAGCCGATCGCCAAGCTTCATCTCTCGATCCGGCCTGCTGGTCCCGTCTGGGGCCCAGCGTGCCACAAGGCCTACCGTCCTCGCTTGTCGTGCTGGTGGTGGACAGCCTTGCCTTGGAGTTGCCCCGTGGTCTTCTTGACGGGCTGCCCAACCTGCGTGAGCTTTACGTGGCTGGCAGCAACGTTGATCGCTCCCAGGAGCGCACGTTCGACCCCGCTCTTGTGGCTCGCTGCCCCGCCATGTATGATGTACGTCTCCGTGGTTTGCGCATCAGAGAGTTTCCCTACTTTATCAACGCTGGGCTCAAGCGCTACTCGATAGCCGAAACGACATACGCCAATGATCACATGGTTTTCAACATGACGCTTGCCCAGCACCTTTGGCCAGAGGTGAGACCACTCGCTCGTCGGGGGACGGGGGGGCCAAGTCATCTTTACCTTTTGCCTTTCTTCACATGCTTTTCTGCTTTGATGAACCAACAGTTGGAGAGCTTGAGGCTGTCTGAATTCGCAGCTATTCACATCATCACAAAGCTAGCACGTGCATGGACCTCCCTCACAGACCTCAAGGTGGCAGTACTCGAATTCAATGCCACGACCTTTGATTGGAGCATGCTTCCAAACATTGCGCGTCTGAGTCTCTACATGGATCGTGGGCCAAGCTCGATGACGGCCAAAGGCCTCCCACAAGTTGGTATGCTGAGCTATCTCAAGCTGACAACCACAAACCCAGCCACAATGCGTTACCTGACCCTGGACGCGGTCTACAAGCTGATTGATTTTCACCACATCATCATCAATCACCTCGAGGATAGCGTGCAGATTGTAAGTCCCAGCTTGCAATGTGGAGTGGAGCCCAGGCACTTGAATTATGTATTGGCTTGCAACTGCAAGGCAAACGATTGGCCTTTAGCCAATGGCACGACTGTGCCAGATTTTACTCACGCCTCTCATTGCCCGCAAGCCGGCGCCATGGCCTGCGAGCCTGAGTGGGAGGCCATGGCCAACTGCATGTCCGCCGATGAGCTTCAAGCTTGGGGCGGTGAGTACATCTACCCACCCCAAGTTTGCGATGGGTATCAGGACTGCAGCAACGGCCGGGATGAAAACGGGTGCTCGGCGCTGACGGACATTGTGAATGAATTTCCTCACGTCGATGCCAACTGGCTGTCTGTGCTTGTCTGCACTCGTAACCTGACGATGAGCATTACCAATGGCAAACTTTATGCTGCGCCTGCAGACCCGGATTGCCATGTTGGCCGTGGCCTGGTCCGACACTGGAACGTTTTTGAGCTCAGCATTGGCTACACCTCCTACTCAAGTGTGTACGACCCAGCGCTGGGGGCCTTTCGGAGCCGTGCCACAATTGAGCGGGACGGGGATGGTAATTTTGAGCCGTACGACTTTTACCACGTACTGACAGTTCAAGATGGCAAGGTTCTGGGCATTTCTGCGGAGAATGTCACCAACACCAGGCCCGACGATCTGTCTGAGGAATCCTTTGAGCGCCTGCGCTCCTCAAATCTGCACTGTGCCATCACTACTACGGCTGCAGCAGCAACAACACGCCCTGCCTTGACGAGCGCTCAGCTGGAGGCCAGCCTGCGCCAACAGGATGAAACTCAAATAACTTTGATTGCCGTGGGTGCGGGAGCTGGTACTTGCCTGCTGCTTGTGATCATCATTGCTAGCCTGCGCTGTCGCTCCCGAAACAAGCTTGTCTTGAGCATGCAGGCTGGATACCAAGAACAATACGCTGCCGCCATGCAGCGATTTCAGGAAGCACATCCAACCTTGAAGTTGGATGCACTCTTTGAACTTTCTCGGTGCGTTCTAGATCCCCATTGCGCCCTCAGTCATGCAGGAGCAGCCTTCCAGCGTCTGCGGAGACAGCCTGCTACCACCGTAGCTTATGTCAGTTTCTGTCTAGGGGTGATTTTCAAGTTTTGGAGCCGGTGGGCGAAGGCCACTTTTCAACCGTGTACAAGGTCAGCTGCATGTAGTTGACGGCTTTTGTGAGAGCACGTCGAGGATTTAGGTAAGGCATAACGTGCCATGAATGCCTGGCATGGGTGAAAATGGTCTTAGGCTGCCTATCAAGCACGCCCTGGCAAGGCGATGCCGGATATGCCCCCATTTGTGGCACTGAAGGAGCCCAAGCTTGATTTGAATGAGGTTGGCTGCCTTCCCGTGCCTGCCATATAGCGACGGCTTGCAGGACAGCGTATAGAGGGCCCTCGTGCGTTGCTGTGACGTTGCACTGGGCCCCACCTCTGTAGATTGGCCTCTTGCCAGAGTTTTTGAAAGAAGCCATGGTTTTACAGGCCATGGGCACCCACCCCCACCTTATCCGTCTCTTTGGCATCTGTCTTCCACGGTGGGCCAGACAACCGAAATGCACCTGACACACTCTTATCTTATTGACGCTGATCTCTGATTTTTTTATGTGTTCGCGCTTGCCATGTTGCTCGCTCATATGGGCTCGTAGGGGGGACCATGCATTACGTTTTGCACAAGTTTTTGAAATATGCGATATGGGTAGTCTCAAGCACGTGTTGACAAACTCGCTCGCATTTTCAGCTCCAGTGGTGGCCACGATCGCCATGCAGGCAAGTGGGGAACCCAACGCGAGCCCTAAGCTGCAGCGCAACGACTTTGAACACCGAGCGTTCTTACAATTGATCCCATGCTGGGCGCAGGTAGCTGACGTGATGACTTTTCTTGCTGAGCGAGGCATTGTCCATCGTGACCTAGCAGCGCGCAACATTCTTGTCACTTCGCTTCAACCCACCCTCGTCAAACTGGCGGACTTTGGACGTAAGTGTGGTCCTTCCAACCCGTGCCTCGAGATGAGAGGGGCCTGGGAGTGCCTAGCGTGACCAGCTTGCTCTTGGCATTTGTACGAATTTGACCTACATCTGGCCGCAGTGTCTCGCGTGGTGAGCAAGGAGGACTATTATCGTAGCCGCAGCGACGACGACCTGCCGTTTCGGTAAGCTGGATAGACTGTCTGTCAGTCATTCTCAGCGTGTGAACAAGCTTTGTGCACGAGCTGTGCATCATCGCGTTCCAAATCTTTGTGACCTGATGTTATGTTTGCAACCAATATACGATAGCTGGATGGCACCTGAGGCGATTCGGGAGCTCAAGTTTTCGGAAGCTTCAGATGTCTGGTGAGTTGTGTTGTGATTTGCTGATCTGCGAGCTAGCCACGCTGACAACGAGTGCTGTTTAGGTCATTCGGGGTGTTACTGTGGGAAATACTGAATCAAGGAGCGACCCCGCACAGCAATTGTGAAAGTCATCAAATCGTGGCTCTTTTAATGCGAGGTGCGATGCACGACCCGCACCGCACACGCTTATTTGTCAAGTTACTGCCGCGCCCATGCATTGCTCAGTCTGCGTGCTTCATTTTCTTCGTAGGCGAACGGCTGACTTTTGCTCCAACAATCAATGCCGCGCTGCGCGACGTGAGCCTGGCTTGCTGGCACGCGCAAGCGCGGCATCGCCCAAGCTTTGCTCAACTGTATCAGCAGCTGCAAGGGCTAGATCTCCTGGGTGGTGCACTATGTAAAGAACCATTCATCCCTGGCCCAGGCGGGCTAGCGAGTAATCCCGTGTTTGTCGGCGCACGACGCCATACCTTTGTAACAAAGGGCGCATGGCTCGATTCACATGCGGCACACTCTAGTCCCGTTGTGCATGACCTGGACCACGACAACGAGACTTCACTCTGACACAAGCACATGCAAGTGTTGGAGACGCTGCCACACACACACACACACGCCTTACTCTTTGATTTCGTGCTTATCGTTTTAGGTTTCTCTGATGTTGCTGTTTTGTTACGCGGCATCGTTGTAGAATGTGTTGCAAACATTGAAGTTTTTGTGGTTACTTGTTTATTTATGTTGTATGTGATGTTTTAATTTGATTTTTATTTTTTTTTTTTCAACTTTTTTTTTGATCGATCATCCTGATGGCGGTCGCCGGTGTCGGTATTGGCTGGTTGGGTTTGGCCCTGTTGCTCCTGGTAACGCCTGGTCAGGGGTTGCGGCAAGATGCTTTGCCCCAGTGTGGTGCGGGGACATATCGCAACAACACGTGCTATTACTCGCCCATCAGCTACGTCCAGCTGCCCAACAGCACGTTCGACGCATGCTGTCATGCTTGCCTGCAGGATCCCATTTGCACGGGCTTTGTGTTGAACGACGGCGTAAGAGCAGCCCGATCCAATGTCTTATTGGTTGCATGCTTAGAGCCGCTATCGATCTATGCCTCCTCCGTTGCCCTGCTCGTCTCAACTATTCTGCATTGCGCTTCCCGCCTCCTTTTCTAGACTTGTAACCTTAAAAACGACAGCATGGTCCAGGGGAGTGCAAACGACCAGTGTGAGGCAGTGATTGGCATGCGATCGGGCCCCACGGCCGAGCCTCCCAAGCCAGCTCCATCAGGTGCGTACAAAGCGAAGCAATGGATGTGATCTTGCCGAGTCGCATTGCGCTCATGGGGTGTCATCTCTCTTGTTGAATTCCTCAGGCAGCAAAAATGTCCTGTACGTCTCCTGGTGCCATCGAGCGCCTTCTTTGCTCGCCATCGCGTTTGCAACATCCCTGCACCAGAAATCTGGTTAGAAGATGGGGATCATTCTCATGTTTTGCTTGGTGGCGTTTGCACAGCCTTTTAGTGGCAGACGACATGCGCCCAAGCCTAGGGTCTTACGGCGTCAAGAGTCAGATCACCCCCAACATGGATCGCTTGGCCTCGGAAGGATTGCAGTTCCAGTTTGCTTATGTGTGTATACCACAGGCCCCGCAACTGTTTCCGCAGCTACGCACTTGAGGAAGCGCACCACCTGACGCTTGCCCTTTTTGAAAAAAAAATCATGCATTTTTTTTTTTGTCTTGCTGCATGCGCGCCACAACTGACAGGTTCAGCAAGCCTATTGCGCGCCTTCTCGGTAGGGAAGTTGGGCAGCATACTCTTTGATTGGGCGACTTGCTCCATGATTTGTTGAGAGCTCGCCAAGTGCACCGCACTCACCGGCGCGCTGGACTCGCTTCATGGCTCGCTTTGCAGCAATTCTTTCATGTCTGGCCGCCGACCCTCAGCCACCAAGACGTGGAACTTTATCAACCACTTTCGCGAGGCCGGTGTGGGCCCTGCGTGGGCCTCGTTACCGGTATGGCGACTAGCTTCACCAAACTGCTGCATATCCTTGTGGTCAGACTTGATCAACAACGCACGACTGTTTGGACGTGTGTACGTTTAGGAACACTTTAAAGATAATGGCTATTTGACGACCGGCACTGGCAAGCTCTTTCATCCCGGCGTTCCGCCAAACTATGTACGTTCTCTCGCCCCTTTTCCCTGGACGCATGCCGTCTGATGTCCCCACGCTGGGCACCTTGCACAGGACTAAAGGCTCACCGCCCGTGACCTCTCAACCTATCGGCAGGATGGTATGCAACATCTTCATGCAACCAGGACCAGGAGGGCCTTGCACTGCTGGCTTGCTTTTTCGCACACATGCTCACTGGGTTTGCCTCTTGGAAATGGCTCCGGTCTTGCTGTCCATTTCATGCAATGTGCTATTCTGGACCAGAGCCGCGTTCGTGGTCGCAGACTGGTCCGGATGGGTCACCGTGGCCTTTCTTCAATGTCCAGTGAGTTGCAACGGAGATTGGGATACCAAGAAGTGACTGTGAGCCTGTTGCTTTGCTCCTGCACGGGCTCATGGACTGGGTTTTGATGAGAGTAGTGGTGAAAACGGCACCAATGCCTGCCCCAACAATTGTTGTGGTGCCAACGACACGGCCCACTACTGCTTGTGGGACCTTTCTCAGGGTGCTCTTTTGGAAGATCAGATTAACAATGCCGAGGCGGCCAGTCGCCTCCAGGTCTGCCCTCTGTCATTTGGTTTTGAGCTTGCTGTGGCGTTTTGGTCATAATATGTCTTGGTGACAAACCTGCCTTCCTCAATGATACGTGTGATACTTTGGTTTGATCCGCGAACAGGCTGCTGCCAAAAACTTTCGCGAAACAGGACAGCCTTTCTTTTTAGGCCAAGGGTACGTGCTCGTAAGCGCATCTTCTGTGCGCTGGCTGCTCTCTGCCTAGCCCCATGATATCGCCACACACGCTGATCCAATGCTTTCCCAAACAGCTATCACCGACCCCATTTGCCCTGGATCATTCCCAAACGTATGCCTGGTTGAGCACATCTTGCTGACCCCCACCCCATCCTGCACTTCTCTTGTTGACATCATGCCACGCTTGGGGCGTTGCGCAGCCTTTTATGACGCTATGGAGACCCCTACCGAGGCGACACATCAGGCCTGGCCGGCTGACCGACCAGCCATCCACTTTCACGACTGCGCCGAAATGTCCCATCCCTATTGGGATACCAACGGCTGGGTACGAAGGAGCAATCGCGACTAAAAGCCGAAGGAAGGCCCATGTTGTTGATGGCTCTTGTCATGATAATCTTCGCAACGTCCCTCAACGTGCAATCGGGCCCGCGCAGGGTGTACCGCTGGACCAGGGCGACTATTTCGCAAGCCATCAAGGCGAAATGCGTCGTGCTTACTATGGTATGTTGCATCTCATATCAAGCTTGGCGCAGATCCCACCGCAAGAACTTGTGCTTGCGCGCTGCAAGCCTTCGGAATGCAAACTCATGCAGGACTCACATGTCTTTTATCGTCCATCTCACATCGGCAGCCGCCGTCAGCTACATTGACTCTTTGATGGGGGATTTGTTACAAGTGCTGGATACCGAAGGGATTGCCGATGACACGATTGTGCTTGTGTACGTCGCCCGGCCGAATAGTCTTGTGCGAGACTTAGCGAACACGACATTTGCGGCTCATGTGATCATCTGCGTGCCGATTTGCTGTGATTTTGACGCATAGTATGGGTGATCACGGTATGACTCATCGCAGAAGCTTAGTTTGATTTCGAATGATGGATCGTTGTGGAGCTTTGCTTTGTGCTCTTGACCCTCAACCCGCTCTTGGTTGTCTTGCCCCTTCCCATCCCACCTGTCTGCTTGTCGACGTTTCTTGGTAGGATGGCATCTGGGCGAGTTTGACATGTGGTGTAAAATGAGTAATCTTGAACTCGGAACTCGGACAGCCTTTATGATGCGAGCTCCCTTCATGCCCAATGCGACGGGCAAAATAACCAACGCTCTGGCCGAGGTTGTGGACATTTGTAAGTGATTCAGAGCGCAGTACCTGCACCCATGCATGTGCCTGCGCCTGCGGTCGTATTTGGCAAGCGGAAAACGGAGATGGTGATTTCTGGTACCCTTTTGCCACTTGTTAGACCCCACCTTGGTTGAGCTGGCCGGTCTCCAACTCCCCACCGGTGCCGCTGGCGAGTACTTGGGTGGGACCTCACTCAAACCCGTGTTGGAAGATCCGACCACCAGCGTACGCTCGCGTTGCTCCCCCCCGCTCCTTGGTCGTTTTCAATTTCGTGCTGAAGCTTCTTTGGGGTGGAACCGATGACCATGGGTTGCGCTTGGTGCTGATTCACAGGTGAAAAAGGTCGCATTGTCCCAGTTTCCTCGCTGCTGGCAGAACAACACCCAGCATCCATCAGGCAATAAAGTGCGTGTGCTCGCTAGTGAAAGACTTGCTTTTTTCCTTGAGCTGGGGGTCTGCAAGCTGATGCAAGCTTGCCTACTTTGCAGCCGGGCGATGAGAACAACCAAACCGTATCTTGGGAATCCATGAGGTTTGTATCGCCGAGGCGCTGAATGTCACACCGCCGTAGATGCGGTACTCACCGACGTGCCGCTGTTGAACAGCGACTGTCACTGGACCTATCGAGAGGGATTTGACTTTATGGGATACCGCATGAGGACAGAGGAGTGGGCGCTCACCCAATGGGTGCGATGGAATGGTACTTCTTTGCGCCCAAACTGGAATCAAACAGTCGGGCTCGAACTCTATGATCATCGCAACAACACCGGTACGGATATCAAATGCCAACAGGTTTTTACCTTTGCATCATCGGAGAACCAACTTTCGCTGATCGGATTGCCCTCATGTCGTGGCTCATGTTCTAGGTATGGCCCCATCTGCATTTGACGACTTTGAGAACGAGAACCTGGCCTACGAGCCTGCACTGCAACCAGTGTTGATGCAACTTCTGGAGCAGCTGCACCAAGAGTTTGCCAAATGGTGGACGCCCAATCCTTAGGGTACCTCGCGTGCTAAATAAGATGGAGGTGTTGCCATGTGTATGCAACGTGCGACGTAAAAACTTGGTTGTCGATTAAAACGCCACGTCGTGAGCTTGTGGCCATTCCGACATTCATAATCGGGGAAAAAGTATCGCTAACCCATTGAGCATGCCAACAAAATGCGCGAATTGGACGATCAAACATCAAGTTGGGTGGCATGGCCAGTTTGCATGGCGGCGCGCAGCGCCCAAAAGTCATTGACTGCGACCCAACACTTCGTGGAGTCGAGTGGTGCCATGGCCCAAACTTGACCCGAGAAGCTTCTACTCTGCATCCGAGGCCACTGTATGATGGGTCCGCTTGGCTGGTCGGGCAGCACGGTCCCGACCAGGCGTCCGACTCTGTTTCCGGTAGATGGGGCGAGGTAGGCGAACAGCACAGGGCTGTTGGGCGGTGGGCAGCTCACGAATCTCGAGCATTTGAGCCAAGGAATATGTGAAGGTTCGGGGTGGTGCGGCAGCTGCAGGTGTGGTGCAGGGCGCTGGAGACCGCTCTTGCACGAGCTCTGCAGTATCCACAGTCACACCACCATGCCTAGGGACAAGCACAGCCTGACCAACCATCAATCCGCGAAAGACGGCCAGCTGTCGCTCATCGCCACAGGGTCGTTGAAAGACTGCACTGACACACACACACACACACACACACACACACACACACACACACACACACACACACACACACACACACACACACACACACACACACACACACACACACACACACACACACACACACACACACACACACACACACACACACACACACACACACACACACACACACAAAATGCATTTAGCTGGTTGTGTGGACAAGAGAGAGGGGGTGAATGGCAGTGGCAGCTGGTGGTGGAGCAGGGAACGAGGTGGACAAGTGCTTGCGTGACTCTGGTCTTGTGGCTGCGAGGCGCATAGAGAGCCGCTTTTAGGGTGCGCTTGGAAGAATGCAGCGGCTCGCCGCAGCGCGGGCTCTGCCGCGGCCGACAGCATGGGATCACCTACTGGCTTCTTCCCGCGCGGGACAGTGGACTGCCGGGACATGCATGGCATGGCAACGACAGGCGTCAGCATCCTGGGCGACCTCACGGGCAGCCAGCACATTGCGGGATGTCTTTGACCTCAACTTTCCCGCTGGCCAAGAGCTTCCGAGCGCCAGCCGACGCGATGAAAGCTTGCTGACAGCTGGGGTGCTCCAGCCTCAGGCCTTTCGAAACGCCACCAACGTCAGCAGATTGCACCAGGCCTGACTACTCCTCACCGACCATGCGTCGCCTCATACCCCTCACTTTTTGAAACTCCTGCATATATAGGCAGCCTTTATGCGCTCCGAGGAACTACTCAATACCATTCTGCAGCTTCCAGCCGGAAGCCCCGACATCATCTATCACATGGACAATATCAGCAACGAGCTTTGCAAGATTCTCGATTTGACGCAGTTTCTCCGCCAGGTTTGCATGACGTGTCCAAAGCAACGAATGCCCTGCCCTTTATCCTACCTGCCGTTGTCTGAGGTGCCTCAGCCTCACCCCGTGCTCAACACAGGTATTGGGAAACTCGGACCACCTCCGCCTCATTGAAGACCTTGAAGGCAGCCTAGGAGCCTACATGGAACAGCTCAACGCACGCCCAGGTACTCATGCTCTCCCGCACGAGACAGCAGGGGCATCAAGCTGCTCGAGCTCCCGAATGATCTTACGGCGTCTCGCTTGCCAAATCCTGTGGGACAGAATTGTATCAACAAGTCAAGAGCTGCGAGAACAAGGTCTCGTACATCGCGTCTTCGCCTGCTCCTCGAGTCACCTAGCACCAACGTCGTTGCTCACTTTTTTTTTCCTCGCACAGTTGAGTCACCATGAGGATGCTGCCAGCTGTGATGCTTTGGTGGTTGACTTTGAAGCGAGTGGTGTGTGGCCTTGCACTTTAAACTGCACCTGCGCCTTTTATCCTGTTTTTACTGCACAACCTCATTGCCAGCTGCTCGACCTAGGTATCCATCTACCAGAAGCAGAGCGACTGGCTATCATTGATGCCAAGGCTGCGTCCGACCAAGCCAGCTTCACCTTTGAACACATGTGTCATCGTACGTCGTGAAGTCCCCGTTGTCAAGTCACCCCCTGCGCACGCACCATCCATGCAGCTGCGGCACACGTCTAACACTAAAAAACCAACACTCCGCCAGGTCCCACTGAGCTGGTGCGCGTACCCCGACGCCAGGTGCCGGCCCTACGGGAATTTGCCACTGCCACCCATGACGTACGCGCTTCCATGTGTTTGAGTGTCACGGCGACCGAGCTCGCCGTCGACTTGCCGTGCTTTCATCATGCTCACTGCGCTCTTTCTTCGAGCAGGATGACCTGATTCTCAATGTTACCGACTCGACTACATTCCCAGCTCGCGTGGCTGACTCAAGTATCCGCGAACAGGTATTTGGTTCAAGGCTTCCGTTCAAGCGTGCGCGCATGTGTGTGTCTGTGTCTGTGTCTGTGTCTGTGTCTGTGTCTGTGTCTGTGTCTGTGTCTGTGTCTGTGTGTCTGTGTGTCTGTGTGTGCGTGTGTGTCTGTGTCTGTGTGTATCTGTGTGTCTGTGTCTGTGTCTGTGTGTCTGTGTCTGTGTCTCTGTCTGTGTACACGACAAATTCGAGAGGTGCTGATACGGCGATGCTTCCTGGATTGTGCCCTGTCGGTCTGTTGACGCTGAATTCGCGTCTCGAACGTAGCTTTTTCGCACCTTTTATCAAAGCGACGCGACAACCAACGCCTCCCTGCTGTCGGTGCGTTCAGAAGCGTTGAAAGTTCCCACCGTGCCGTACACCCCTCACATTGATAATAAGCGATTGTTTAAAAGGGTCACCAACCGTCTTTCTCAGTTGATGCATGCCAACTCACTCTTTGTTTGACAATGTAGCTGTTGGAGAGTCGCTTTCATGTTGCCGAACTCTCCCAGTTCGATTCGCCTTTGGCACAGGTGTGTATCTATTACCAAGTCAAGGCGTTTTGACCAACGGCGCAACCTTGATACCCTGATTTGTCTTGTCTCATGCTGCATGATGAAGGTCACCAAGACGTTGATGCTGCGCGAGCCAGATTCCATTGAACACTTTCTCCTGGAACTTAGTCGCAAGTCTGTTTTGAGCGATCTTGTGTTGTCGAATACCTGCGTCTCCATACTCCGAAATACACTAATACATTGACTGACCGCGTTAGAACTCGGCCTCTTGTAAACGAGTACTTGGGCACCATTTTGCACGATGCGCGCTTCTCCGGTCGGCATTCTCGCATTGGCATGAGCTCGGCGCAACTCGTGTGCCGTAAAAGAAAAACAAAAAAAAAAAAAAAAAAAAACTCCCCCACTGCCTCACTTGCACGATTTCCCCGTAGGCCACCATCTCAATGCATGGGACGCACCGTTTGTAATGCGTCAGGCGAGGGCACAGCGCATGATAACGGGCATGAACGCCTACCTTAGCCTTGGGGCCTGCATGGAGGGCATTGATTTGGTTGTGCGCCGCCTGTTCGGCCTGCGACTTGAACCTGTGGCTTCTCTGCCAAATGAGGTGCTGTCCTTGCCATCGTCGCAACTGCCAAAATGAACATAGGGACAACATAGCACCTGTTACTCTCGTGCCAGCGGCGACAGGGCGCGGAAAGCGGCTTGCTCACATTTGAATGCACGACATCCGGGCCCGACCCTGATTTGCTTGTTTGCTCTTTCCCCTCTCTGTATCAGGTGTGGGACCCATCGGTCATCAAGCTGCACGTTGTGTCCGAGTTGGATGATCAATTGGTGGGCGTGATTTACTGTGACTTTTTCCGACGTGATAATAAACGCAACAACGCCGTTCACTTCAACATTCAATCGGCGCGTGCTGAGCATCACGATTGGTCTCGCCAGCTGCCCGTTTTGGCCGTGGTATGTGGTGCAGCTCGATGTTCTCTTGCTAATGAAAGCAGTGCAGTTGTTCTTGTTCTTGCTGATGACTATATGTTTTTTTTTTTTTCGCTTGTTGTGCCGGTCATCTTTTTTCTGGTATAGACGCTTGGCGTGCCCATGAATCGCTTTCAGCCATTGGGCCTGCAACAGTGTGTGACATTGTTTCACGAGTTTGGCCACGTGATGCACTCAATTCTGTCGAGTGTACGCTTGCAAAATATTTCGGGCACTCGTGTGGCTGCTGACTTTGCCGAAGTACCATCGACTCTTTTTGAGGTGCGTACGATAAACTCAGTCGTACATGAGCCCAGTGATTGGCAACAACCATCGTGCCGCGAGGTGCTGAGGATTTCGTTGAACCTTTCTTCTTTCCTTGCTCAATTGTGTACGCTTGACATGTGTAGAAATTTGCAACAGAGTACGAGTTTGTGGAGCAGTTTGCTCGGCACAGCTTGACAAATCAAGTATGGTATTGGGCGGGTTTGAAGTGGTGGAAGGGCTGCAAGCCGTTGTTTTTACGACCATGCCATTGAGCTCACTGCCGTGTCATCTGCCTGTAGCCGGTGTCAGAGGACGAGTTCAATCACAACAAGGCAGAGATGCGCGCCGCAGACATCCTGAACGTAAACGAATCTTTGACTATGGCGTTGATTGATCACTACCTGCACCGTCAGCCGCCGCAGGTTCGTGAAATTGCCCCCGAGGCACACGATGGCTTTCTTCGCATGTGTGACCCTCATGACCAACGCTGATTTAGAGCTACGCGGCCACGCAAGCCTTGGTTGAACAAGTTTGGCATGAACACAGCTATGCGCGCATTGATGGCGTGCCTGTGTGGTCACGGTACGCACCCCTTAACACGTTGGCCCGCCTTTCGATTTTGCGGCGCAGCAGATTTCTTGCCTTGGAACGCTCCACCTTTTTTTTAGTTTTGTTTTTTTTTGTTCCAACATTGCTTTCTCCGGCACAGCTTCACTGCAGTCCACTGTGCCTGTTGCTCTTTCCCAGATTTTTTCACCTGAGCAGCTATGGCAGCTTTTACTATTCGTACTCACTCTGTAATGTAGGTTATCAGCTGTGGTGGCAGTCGCTGTAGTCTTGTGTGTTCACACCTCAACCTCTTTGTGGGTTTCCTAGGCTATCAGTGCCAAATTGTGGCAGCACATGTTTAGGGCAGACCCTCAATCCACGACGAGCGGTCAACGGTGCGTTTTCTCAGGCAGAACGATTCGCTCGATTCGAGCATAATGATCTCATCATGGGTTTGTGGACGTGGGCGACACGAATGCTTTTGCACTCGACAGGCTTCGGGATCAGCTCTTGTCACAGGGTGGAGCCCGGTCGCCATGGCAACTGCTAGAGGGATGCATGGCTGAGCCACCCTCCGTGGACGGATTTGTGGACGGTTATGTGGACTATCTGCAGGAGAGCCTTCCTCACTGACGAGAGGGGTGATGTGCTCCTCATTGAGTTATAATTGACATTGTGATCTGCCCGTCAGAATGGCCGCTGCTAGGTTTTGACCAGTCAGATGTACCCCATAAGCATTGTGCTTATTAATTTCTCTCTTGTTACTATGGCAAGAAGGTTGAAGTCAGTTATCAAGCAGAGACGACTCGGGCACTGGGGAGAAAGTATATCCTGGCACGACAGTCAGAAAACCCCAAGGCGTGGAGATAATAGAGGGTATATAAGATGACACGAACAGCCCACCAGGGCTGAGATGAATACTGATGCAATGATCACAGAGCAATATGGGCCCTAGTATAGCAGGAGCGGACTGCGGGTTGACAAGCGATCCAGTGTAGCGTCCATGTCTAAATCGTCATCGTCATCGGGATCCTCAGAGGAGAGGAAGATGTATTCCCGTTGTGCAAAGCGCACCCAGTCGGTGATCTATGCCAAGAGATCAGGTGCACAACAGTCAAGGCGCGCGCCGAGCTTGATCGCAATCGCATCAAAACCAAGATTAGGAAATAGCAGAGAAGGCACACGCATACCTTTTCCTCGTCATCACTGGCTTCATTCTCCTCCATATACAGGTACTGCACGCGCGAGGTGACATGGGTGGTGAGCGTGTCACACCGCGGTCAGCCAGAGGCAGGGGTCAAGAGTGCGGATAATGGCGTGCCATACCTTGTTGACATTGATAAAGGTGTTGAAGAAAGTCTTGGCTTTGCCACTGCGCTTAATGTCCATTAGCCTAGCAATTGAGCGCAGGGGATAGTGAGCAGACTTGAAGGGGAGGGGAGGGGAAGGGGAGGCAGCCGGGCGCACAAAAACGCAAGAACGCAGTCATGAGATAAGAATGAGATCAGACGCCAACCGACCGAATGATGGTGGGGCTGCGAGGGTTGATCATGTCGAGAATTTGACAGAGCATATCATTAAAGTTCATGGCTTCAGTTCCAAGTTCATCGAGACGATTGAGCTGCTCGTCGTAGAACATCTCGAGTTCAAACATGGAAAGGCAGCCATCGCCGTCCAAATCCATGATTCGAAACCAGTATTCTGCCGCTTGGGCTGAAGTTTTGTCCTCTTCGCTGAGCACAAAGTAGACAAAGTCCCAATACGCCATATCCTCGTCGGTGCTGTCCGCTGAAAACACTGTTCCACTGAATATCCGATCCAGAACCAAAGAGGAGAGGCCTGTGCCGAGGGTAACAGGGGCGAGTGCGCAACAGAAGTGGTGTCAAAATGAGACCTTTGAACATCGCGGCAGCTGGTTGGTTTCAAAGGCACCGCGACGTATGGGGTATGGGTTGGAGCCTGGTCGAGTGTTTGTGGGAAAGGAACTCAATCAAGGATGTAAATAGGACCAACCGCCATCACCGTAGAGAGCCAACTCGCGCTGGGAGATGCTGAGATCGTGGTCCTTGTCCAGCTTCCAGAAACTGGTATAAATGACATAAAAGTGTTCGTAGGAGAAGACGCGTTGTTCCTAAATCAGGCGAGCACGGCGATCATGAGTCAGAGGCAAAAACAGGAAGGCGAGGCAAGGGACAACACAGGTAAGGAGGGGTCGATGAGACCACCGGATGTACCTTGTTGATGTTGAACTCCTCCTCCAAGGATTCGAGGATGGCACATAGCGGGGAGCGTTCGATTTGGCGGGCGGTTAAGATCCGAGACCAGTTACGATCGGCCAGGTAGTAGATACGGGCAATGGCGGTGTCGATGTAGCGCTCATGGTAATCGGGGGAATCAATGAGAAACTCGAGGCCAGGGTGGCGATCGATCACGTTCTGCATAAAGCGACGCCAGTGTTTGGGCTCGACGGCCTTGATGAACCCGGTTATGGCGCGGGTTGTGGTATCCACGTGTGGACAGTCATCGTCATTGGCGTACACAAGTAGGGCCACCATTTTCTCGCTTTCAGAGTGGTGTTGGCTGGCCAGACTGCGCCAAAACCCGTCCAGGATGTGGGGTGTGATGGACTGGGCGCCGCTGAAGCGTCGACAAGCTGCAGCCAGGTCGGCGGCAAAATAGATGCAAACGCCCAGGACGCGGCAGATGGCTTCAAGGTCATCGAGGACAAGCTCCGTGTGAGGCCCGTCAAACACATCGCGCAGCTCGTCCAGGAGATGCGCGTCGGCTTCAGAGAGCGAACCACGGTGGGGTTTGTGATAGAATGGGGGCACGAAGCTGTGAGCGTCACCCGGAATGGAGAAGCGCTTGTGAGCGCGAGGCGAGACGAGGTCGGTGGAGCGGCGTGGCGCGCGAGGGCCGCCAGCGCCGCCGCCACCATTGGCGGGTCCGGTCATGATGCGACGAGATAGGGGTTGGCCAGCCACGGGGCTGTTGGGGGAGGCACCAGCAGCACTGCCGTTGTTGCCGCTGCTCGGGCTGGCACGGGCTACGGGGGGCGAGCTCAGCTGGGATGGTGTCTTTGGCCGTGCCGCAGCTGTGGCTTCCGCGGCAACCTCCGAGTCGGTGTTGGACCAATCGCCGGCCTCGATGCGTGTGAGCCGGCTGGACCAACGATCAAAGACCTCAGGATCAGACAGAAACTCGAAGATAAACTGTTCCAGCTTCCGCTCGGGGACCACCATGGTGGCAGGAGGCTCGAGTGACTGTCCATCCATTGCGGCTATCATGCTGCCCCCAGCTCCTTACCCACCCTCAAACCCCCTCCACAACCGTGTTATGATAACGTCACAGTAAAACGCTGCACAAGTGGCAGGCAGGCAGGCAGGCAGGCGGGCGGGCGGGCAGGCAAGCAAACAGGCAGCGCATCGGCAGGCATCAAAGTCGTCGTCGTCGTAAAAAAAAAAAAAAATCGAAAAGTGAGAAAAATAGAGAATACAAGAAGCGATAGACTGACATTTATCACACTTTGTGTTGCCAATAGAAACAGTAGTGCAACTACAGTTTTCAACATATACTTCTGACAGTAGGGTGTGCTTATGTTGGTTCAACGCATCCATTCGCTCAACACGTCATAACCTGTCCCTGTTGCTGTATTAGGTTATTGTAGTTGTTGATGAGGTTACTGTTGCTGGATAGTCATGTATACTTGAATAGTCTTGTTACTTAATGTCGTCGTCTGAAGAGTATATGCAGACGCGTAGCCACCGACTCTTACGTTATTTTGCTTCATACGCACATCTTTAATTCTGCTCTTTTGTTTGTTCTTTCTTTTCTGTGTGTCTTTCTTTTCTGTGTGTGTCTCTCACTTATTTCTCTCTTCTCTCTTCTCTCTCTCTTCTCTCTCTTCTCTCTTCTCTCTCTCTTCTCTCTCTTCTCTCTCTCTCTCTTCTCTCTCTCTTCTCTCTCTTCTCTCTCTCTCTCTTCTCTCTCTCTTCTCTCTCTTCTCTCTCTTCTCTCTCTCTTCTCTCTCTCTTCTCTCTCTCTTCTCTCTCTCTTCTCTCTCTCTCTCTCTTCTCTCTCTCTTCTCTCTCTCTTCTCTCTCTCTCTCTCTTCTCTCTCT